TCTCAAAGGCTTCTAATTTATTTATAGTATTAGTTTTCATGGTCCACGCTTCCACCCCATAGAGCAGGACGGACCATACAAAGCACTTTGCATATCGTAGACGCAGCTGCAGTTGGATGTCTCTGCAGTTCAGTACGTTTTTGAACTTAAGAAATGCTGCGCGCGCTTTTTCTATTCTTGTTCTAATTTCTCGCTCAGGGTTCAGGGTTCCAGTCAGCATGCAGCCAACAGCCAAGATACTGATATTTTTCCACCCATTCTATAAGTTGATTTCCTATGCTGAGGCTTCAGTTCGCATACCTTAGTTTGTCACGGCTAATACTCATGAATTTGGTTTTATTAGCGTTGATGTTTAATCCATATCTGTTGCTAGCTATATTTAGGCGAGTACACATGTCTTGTAACTCATTCCTATTGTTTGCTAGCAACACGGAGTCATCTGCGTATATTAGGATAAAGCATTTTAGAACAAGCAAATTTTTTTATGAAAAATGCATTTTCCTCTAAATGTCAGCAATAAAAAAGTTTTCCCTCTTGAAAAAACAATCCGGGGACATACTGTAGGTTACTTTGACATGAATGAAACCTTTCTGAAACACTGGACCACCCTGTAGCAATAAATGAGCTCATTTCTTGTAAATATTATGCGGAAAATGTAATAAAAACACACCGTCCAGCTCTCTTACTTACTTAGAACTATTTATTAATTATCCATAGTTATTACACACCCATTTTACCACACTTTATCATACCTTTTGATACACTTTACCATTTTTCAGCTAATATTCTCCGGAAAATACTTTCTTCTGCACAGTAGGCGATTTTCTGCATGTCATTAGAGACGCTTTTTGCTCGAAATTATTAAAATTCGTCACATACCTGCATGCAAGGCATGTTCCCTTTTTTGAATGTTGGCGTTTAAGTTATTAGAACTTCACTTGTTTTATTGTCCTACGATTAGGAAAGATAAACGTCGGAATAACGTGAAAATGAAAGGCTTTAGCATAGTTAGCGTTCAGAATTAACTGGTTTTTATGTATGTGATAATAAGTTTGCGTGTTTGAGAACGGGATTCAATTAAGTCTTATATATACTTTTTTAACATGATCGTATTTAATATTTTCTAACTGAACGATAAAATATTCGATTGGGTAGTCTTTTTATCATAGATGAAATAAAATTTATTATTTATATTTCGGCGGTAGAGAACTGACGGTTTAGTTTTTATACAGAAACATTGTACAACTTAATAAGCAGTTATGTTTTAAATATTTTCTTTAGAAACAGCAGCGCCGGACTTAACGAAGTTGCCGCCCCAGGCTAAAAAAAAATTGCCGCCCCTTAACATTTTTTTTAATTAAAAAAATTACGGATATAAAAAACATTTATTTGAATACAGGACCAACAACAGAATAGACCGACAGATCAACACAGAACATAAAATAAATATTAAAATATTTATATAAAATGACAACAAACGAACAAAAAAACTATAAGGTTTGCTTATATGCTTATAAAGGTTTCCTACGTACTTTTTTGTTTGCAAAATTATCAATTACTTCTTCGTAATTGATAGTTTTTAAAAGGTCGGACTCAATATGTAAAACTGCCAAATGATTTAGACGTTCTGTTTCCATAGTGAGTTTAAATACAGTTTTAAATTAAATAAGTTTTAATACGTTTCAATGCAGAAAACGAGCGTTCAACAGAACAGTTAGTAATAAAAGTACATGTGAAGATTCTTAATGCTATGAAAGTATTTGGAAACGGGTCTTGAGTGTTTTTTTTATAAATTACTTTAAGAAGCTCTCTAGCAGATGGTTTTGCTGACTTAATGCATTTTATAAATTCACGAAAATGTATTAATTCATTAGGCATTGACTCATCTAAATCATTTGGATAACAGGTTATTAAATGTCTGGACTTATCGGTAATGTCGTCAATACTTAAAGTGGACAAATCACTAAAGAAACCAAATTTAGTTGAAATTGTAGGCACTTTTCCTGTAGGAAATTTCAAGGATTAATTTATCAATAATAACATTAAATACATTTATCCTAAAATCGTCCCTAGCGTCAGAGTTTCATTATCACTGGTTTTAAAATGTCGTTTCCGTTTCACTTTTCTCTTTATCTGGCGCATATTCTTTCTCACCGAACAATTCTATGGCCCTTCTTTCATATTCCTCAAATGATTTAGTATTATCTAGATTTCTAATTTCAGAAAAATATTTTCCAATGAGCTATATAAATCTGCAGCAAGTTGTAGATCAATATCCACCAACTTTTTATTGACCGCATCTAATCTATTTAAAACGTCTCACTGTGGTCAATTTTTAAAAATTAACAGTAAAATATTAAAAAATCTGATGAGGCTAAGCGGCGTCAAAAACTCCATAAGTAGGCTTTGAAATAGTTGCTAAAAACATTTCATTAACAAATATGTCAAAGGTCGTTGCGAACTTACTGTTATTTTGATTGAAAGTGTAGTATAGTTGACAAATTAAACCAAATAATCTTGTTATTTGCACATGAATAAAGTTTTTAATTTGCGTATTCCGTGCAAAAAGTTATATGTCATTAATACTATCTAAAATGGAAAGAGCAATTGTTGTTGGTAAGTTTTTTGACATTAATGTTCTTCTGTTGAGTATTAAATATGAGTAAATAATTTTGATATGGTTAGATTTTTTTTTAAATTATTAGAATATACATTTTTTTAGTGAACTAGCAGAAAAAAGTCTTATGAGGTTTCAGTTTTAAATAAAGTTAAGTTGATAGTTAAACCATTAGACAACATTACCAAACCTACAAATTTACCGTCCTAGTCCGTCTATTAAGTCCAGGCAATTTTTAGGACGTATTGCCCATATTAAATGCTTGCAGGTTGTTGACTTTTTAAAAGCAACTGTTAGCAAAATCTGTAAGATCCATAGTATTATTCTTATAATCTGATAATTTGTAAATATCTAACATATGCAAATGATCGCAACCAAAATCTATTTAAAATAATAACAATAGTTAACTAAATAAATATGTAATCGGTTAAGGCTATATTCGAAATATTTTATGAACAAATAAAAGTTAAAAAAAAAGATAAATATTGTGGTATGGCCTAGACCTAAGTCCGGCACTGAGAAACAGGTGTAAACCTGTTTAAAACATCATTACTTATTTTAAACTCGCTTAAACAGGCAGCAAGTGGAAACATATTTTCCTTTCAACTATTTGATAGCAAAATAAAACACTAATTCACCACAATACACTAAAGCACTCTACTTTTAAACACTGAACACGCGTCTCGCTAACCATGTTAGCTAACTATAATAGTTAACCAATTTTTAGAAACGCGCATTGAGTGTTCAAAAGTAAAGTTTTTTGATGGTCTTCCCACGTTGCAACACGTGGGCCCACGTGCGAAAGAGTGTACACATGAGATCTGGGAGAGATGGATGGCGTGACGTGGGGTGGCATGTTGCCTAGTGTGTACGTAATACATGTAACTAAATTGAAAAACTTACGCACAGATCTTCATGACGTGGGGTAGCACGGTGTTGGCTAATGGGGTCCCGGCATTAATCACTTGTCAATTAAAAAAATATACCATTAATATTTCAAATTATATTTTATCCTCTCATAGTATCTCTATTTAATTTTTTGATTATGTAACGAGCACTTTGTTTACTCACTTGTTTAGTCGAACTGCTTGAATCCATTTTTGCTTTTGATCAAATCGGTGCGAGAAACTATCAAGCTATAATTCGGGAGAGTTGAATATCCGGAAAAGTTGAGTTATTGAATGCTATTGCATCCAACAACGCCCTAATCACGCTCTCCTTTACGCGTTACATTTTTTAGGCAATTTTATTAACATTTGAAATTGGCACAACACAACACGACTCCTAGTTCGAATTCTTTCTCACTTTTTTACTACCCCCTAAACAGCGTTACGTCCACACAAAACCTCATACCTGAATGTTTTATAATCTCAATAACTGCACTAGCAAAAACTAAATAATAATAATAATAGTTCCCGTATATAGCGTTTAACGCCTTGGGAGTAGCAAGGTACAACTTGCCATGCTAGAGCCGTTCGGTATACAAGGAAGGTAATGTGGCTAGCACTACGCTTCAACCGCCTATTATTACCTCCGGATTGTGAATCCCAAGTACTCATTTAAGGCTGAGTCGACCTAGGTACCCAAACTATTTTTATTTTAATAAAAATAGTCGGCTGATGAAATGCCGGGTGTAGGATTCGAACCCATACCTTGAGATTGGTAGACGAGAGCCTGTATTTCTACGCCACCGGGCACCTGCAAAATACTAAAATACTTAAATATTATGACAAAGCCACGATTTCAGTATTACTTTAATGCAATCGACATGAACTGTGTATTGATCATTTCTGATTTCTTCCGTTGAAGCGCTGCGGTCGGAATTTGTTGAAATCAATTGCATGGTGCAGCCTATAAAGCTTGTTTTTCATGTATCCGTTGTCCGACGATACGTTGACACGATATTAATTTTATTGGTAGAATTTAAACACTTTGATTAGTTAGAAAATAACGCAGTTTTTAGATTTTTTGCATTTTGATGCCTCCGTTTATCGGATATACGTTGGTGTTATTTTATATTTTCGTTTCCATAACGATTTTGTTATTTTACTATATTTTTATTAAGGTTAGATTAAATTTGTCAAAAAAGTGTCAAAACGTCCGTTATCGTATGTTCGGGTCCGTTGACGGGCTGAAGTAAAATATTTACGGATAAAAAAAGTGGCGCGAAAACGCTATGACCAATCAGCGCACCGTCGGACCATCGTATCAACGTATAACGGATGCATGAAAATCAAGCTTAAACAAGGAATTAAAAAAAAAACAATACATAATGTTTCATCACTGAAGGGCTCATATAATAATATTATGTCAAAAGCCGGAAAATACTCAAAAATAAACGTATTTCTCCTGTTCTCTAAACTAATAAGTCCTTTTGTTCCAGATATTCCTCGAAACATGGTTCATGCGTGACGACCTTTCACCAAAATCACCATGACCCAGTCCCACTACTCGTTGCGATGGAACAACCATCAGTCTCACATCCTAGCCGCCTTCGAAGCCCTCTTCCAAGCCGAAACCCTGGTCGATGTGACGCTGGTCTGTGCGGAAACTTCGGTACGCGCCCACAAAGTAGTTCTGAGCGCCTGCTCGCCATTCTTCCAGCGAGTGTTCTCGGAAAACCCCTGCAAGCACCCTGTCATCGTGCTCAAAGACTTCTGCGGCTGGGAAGTACAGGCCATCGTCGATTTCATGTACAAAGGAGAGATCAGCGTGGTGCAGGACCAGTTGCAGAACTTGATCAAAGCGGCGGAGAGTCTGCAGATACGAGGCCTGGCTAATCAGGATCCGTTTGGTGTGGATAAAGAGTCGATAAGTACGGTGAATCATACGCTGACACCGTCGAATTCGCCGAATGATTACGACAGGCAGTTTTACACTAACGGAAATAAGTTTCCGGATGTGAGTGCGAGGAATCCGGTGGAGAGAACGTCGCCGTTTTCGCCTATAGGGAACAATTACGATGCGCCAGTTAAGCTACCTCATATGCCCAGGCTCTCGTTTCCTGATGCGCTGATTCCACGGTCTGAGTGTAGTCTCCCATCCAAAGAAGAAAACAATTAAAGTATGTATATTTTTATATCATTTTTTGTTATTGTTTCAAATTATGTTTTTACCTCTAAAAGACGGTGGTACTGCTCTTATTTTAAGTTTTAATCCACCTCAAGTTTGCTTATTAGAGATAAATAATTTATATAGTTCCGACGCATTTCTTTCAATGACAACTTCAATTCCTTGTAAGACATTTTTTTAACCATAACCATCAACGATTATGACCTTGTAGGCTATCTTAGTTGTTTAGTTATTTAGTTTTAGTTGTATCATAATTATCATTATCCTACTCAATGCTATTAATTGGAATAGTTCTTAAACATTATGAGGCTACACTAGCTCTTCCACATACCCTCAAGATACCTAGATAAGATATTACGCACGTAGTGGGCGGAGCTAAACAGAAAATTACTATCCGGTGACGTCATCCGCGCGGAGAACAGATTTGCGACCGCCAAGGATCTTATCTAACCTTCTTGTATCGTCAGCATGAGAAAAAACAATATGGCGTTATTATTACATAATAACTTACTTAACTAAACATACTTGGTAATATTTGAGGGGTAGTTATATCTCCTTGGAATTTGACTTTCGAAAAATCCGTTTGCCAAAAATAAGCTTTTTACGTCACGCAGAATCGTGGTTAATCAATTACCCAACTTTTTGGAACACTGTATAATTTTTTAAAAAATCCTAAAATATGGAAAACAACAAAATAAAATAAACGTGTTTAAGGATTTTTTTTTGAAAAACTCACCGGTTTTTAAATAAAAAATATTCTAATATTTGAGGGGTGGTTTCGCCCCCTTAGAATTCGAGTTTCGAAAAATCCCTTCTTACCGAACCTCTGCACCCTAAAGTCAATCCGTTTTCCAAAAATCAGGTTTTTACGTCTAGCGCTTTAAGCAGGATCATCATTAATCAATGACCAGATTCTTCGAAACACCCTGTATACATTTTTTAAAAAATCTTAAAATATATAAAAAAAAACAAAATAAAATATACGTGTTTAAGTTTTTTTTCGGAAACTTACCGTTTTTTAAATAAAAAATATTGTAATATTGGAAGGGTGGTTTCACCCCCTTGGAACTGAAATTTCGAAAAATCTTTTCTTATCGAACCTCTACACCCTAGAATCAATCTGTATGCCAAAAATGAGCTTCTTACGTTGAGTGGTTTGAGCAGGATCGTGATTAATCAGTGAATCAGTCACTTAAGGATTTTATATATTAGTATAGATAATAACCAAACCAATGATTTTTTTACTCCAAACTTGCTATAGTCTTTTTTCTAAATTAAGGTCTTAATGTTTTACCAAAATTACCTCATTTTATTACTATTTTGTTACTATTCTAGGCCTAGAAGACGTTCTGGAGAAATGTGCGGACCTCAAGATCTAACCACCGGAACTATTAAATCCGGATCACCCTGTCCAGAGGAAACGGCCGAGAACCTTTGCATCAATAAAAGGAAAGAGGAAAAACACATAATAAAGGACGAACCCCTGAAAACCAGTACGCCGGAACCGAGTCTGCGCAGTCCGGAATTGGATTTAAGTACCCAGGGAAATGGTAAGGAGTTTAGATCATCGCCGATATCGTCGGCACCCCAGTCTGTGATGAATTTGAAGCAGGAAATCGAGAACCAATCACCGTTAGGTTTTCCACCGATGCCAACGGTTTCGGCTTTGGCGATGACAAATCCACATACTAAATGTAAGTAAAATATCTATGAATAATATCATTATTACCGGAATACCAAGGACCAGTTTTACTAGTTTGGGTTAAACTTCAGCTAAATGTTAATCTTGACGTCTCTTTTTGCTTTTAAGCTTGATTTCCATGCGTCCGTTATCCGTTGGTACGATCGATGGTCCGACGGCGCTCTAATTGGTCATAGAGTTTTCGCGCCACTTTTCATCCGCAAATTTTTTATACCAGCCCGTCAACTGAAAAAGATCTTACAACAACGTACGTTTTGACACTTTTTCGATAAATTTAATCTAACCTTAATAAAAATATAATAGTACAAAGTCGGGAAAACAAGAATTTTAAGCTGATTTTTTAATATATCTTTTGCTTCTCCTGACCAAAGTGCGGGCCGCCTGGCTACCGGCAGACTACTGCGGTCACTACTGCGCATAAGAAAAAATCCAGCGGTGTCAGATCTGGTGACCTAGGTGGCCATCTATGGGTCCCCTCCTACCAATCCACTGCTCTGGGTAATGATTATCCAACAACTCTCATACTGGGCGTACATAATGCTCCATCCTGTTGGAAGTGCAGCAAATGCTCATCCAGAAAAATATTTCCATTGGTGTCCCTTTGATTTTCCACCTCACGAATTATAAGAGGTTCTATAGCTGTATCTAACATTTCTGCATAAATTTCACCATTTAGATTTTCATTAATGAAGAGAGGACCGATGATATGATTGCCTAATATACCTGCCCAGACATTTATTTTTTGAGGGTATTGCGCCTCTCTAATAATGGGAGGATTGATGTCGCTTTGTTGATCTTGCCATAATTTTGCAAAACTCAATACGTCTGTCCGGGTCATACTCCCCTAATTCTTGAGTAATTAAGAGTTTGTATGGATGTAATTTGTGAAGCGTTAATACTTTCCTGACTGACTCACGCGACAGTCCAGTTTGATCTGCAACTTTACGAAGGGACGTAGTGGGAGTCACTAGCATAGCAACTTCACCAAGAATCTCAGTCTGAGCGGCTTCATTGAGCAGTCTTGGCTCATTTCTTTTCTTATTGCAAACAGACCCTGTTTCTTCAAATTTAGCTACTAACTCACGAATATGTACTTGTATCTAACATTTCTTTCACGATATCTTTCGTTGAATGCGGCCGCCGTTCTTGCAAAGCAGCGATTTTCAGCTCCGTAAATGAAAATCATTTCTACGCGTTCAGCAATAGTGTAAACCATTTTAAGAAACAACACTAATAATTGAAAACTATTAAAATTGTTTATGAAATTAACTTTCACAGCTTATTTTACTGATTCTGGAAGAACATGAAATAAATAATGAACACCAGGAGTCGGAAAATAAAGAACAAGTACCTACTTATCATTTGTTCGAAATATTAGGAATAAGCAAAACGAGAATCTTGTTTTTGAAAACGGCAAAAAAATTAAATTACTTTATGTGTTGTAGTGGCGATATCGAAGACAAATATTTTGTTCTATGAGGCGGTGAATGCAATCCGTTTTAAAATTAGATATTAAATACATTTCATTCATTTGTGAGGTTAAGTATCACAATTTTGACAAAATAATAATGCAGTTTATGTAGAATTCTATAAGGAACACAAATATGGTAAAAGAAATAGGGGTTGCCATTTAAAATTTTAGGGGTAGGTACCCTGGGGGTCAAAGGGTTGAAAGTAACACGACAACAAATGCCTCAAAAATTGTCCCCCTTGATATGTAAATTGACGTATTTCGCCAATTCTATTGGTTGAATTTAAAGATTTCCATTAGTTAGAAAATTACGCGAAATACTTTTAAACGAACCTCGTAGATTTATTTAGCTGCTCCTCGAGCAAAATATTTCGACACGATGACTTGCCTCAACGCAGCGACTTTCTGTGTGATGTTCGATTTCGTAAAAACGATGCAGTCGATTTTTCTAAAGGCTTGTTAACACCACTCGGTTAATAGATTATGCAAATGCGTCTTCGGAATTCTTGACCAACCAACCAGCCCATTCTTAATCGAGTTGCAATTTTATTACGATAGAGCTATTTTTATTTGCCTTTTAATGTTTGGTGCGGGAAACGATGTTGATTGATTGGGTCAGTCCATTGTTTCAAATTATTACATTAGTTTGTTTAAGGTGGTGAAATGTATGTTGGTGCATTCTATGAAATTCGTTCAATACAACAATATGATGTATTATACCTTATTTCTCTCTCTCTCTCTCTCTCTCGATGTCGTGACTGACTTCTTTGGAATGCCTCTATTTCCCTTTCTATTGTCTTCTTCCACATTTTTCGATTTTCAGCCTGGTGAAAAAAAAGGGGTCGGTCTGTGACTTGTTTGATTTGATCAGACCATCTCATAGGCGATCGACCTCTACTTCTATTTCCCTGTACTTCTCTCATCACTATGAGCTAGAGGTGAGAATTCTAGTTCCTTGGGAGGAACTAGTTCCTTAGTTCTAGTTCCTCCAAAGGAATAGTTCCTTGAACTAGGTCTTTAGTTCACAATAGTTCCCGATTAACATAGAACAAGATATTTCTTAATTTTACTTTTGGGACCTAAAGTGAAACATTCCAATAAAATATTTAAAAAATAAACTAAAAATCAAAAACAGTACCTATCCACGACAATTTTCTGTGGTAATTACGCCGGCTGTGGAAATAGACAAGGCCGAATCCATCGTCGTCGCCTTGTATTATATCTCGGATCTGCCGACTGAATAGATTCCCGTGAACTAGTCTTTTAATTAGTTCCTCTATGTCCGGATCTGATAACATACGGCTGGCACTCTCCACGCCTGCCTAGCATTAATCGCGCTGGCCCGATCCATACGTAGACTAGTCTTTTATTTAGTTCCTCTAGTTCCTTTAGGTCCGGATCCGATAACATACGGCTGGCGCTCCCCACTCCTGCCTAGCATCGATCGCGCTGGCCCGATGCGTACGTACGTAAACTAGTCATTTATTTAGTTCCTCTAGGTACGGATCCGATAACGTACGGCTGGCACTCCCCACTCCTGCCTACCATCGGGCTACGCGCGCTGGCCGATCCGTCGCATATTATTATATATCGGTCACAGTCTCGATCCAGGAATAGGTCCTGAGTAACTAGTTCTTTGAGAAACCAGGAACTAGTTCCTTTCATTCCGGGGTCGAAATAGTTCATTGGAACTAGTTCGTTCACGAACTACACACCTCTACTATGAGCCTGTCTATAATGTCATTTCCGCTTCTTGCCACGTGACCAAAATACTGCAACACCTTCATCATGCATAATGATGATAGTCTGGTGGTTACACTTAACTCTTCCAATATCGACTGATTAGAAGGGAATTCCAGGAATCCAGGGTAATTCCAATTCTAAGCAATCTCCTGTAGCACCACGTTTCAAAGAAATCAATATATTTTCGTTCTTTAACTCTTTATCTCCACGACTCTGAGCCATATGAGAAGATTTGAAAACCAACGTATTGAAAAGAGCAACGTATACTTTATTTAGGCAACAGCTTTATATCTATTAATTTCTTGCAACCTGACTTAACAAGTATGTTGTCAGATTGAGGAGCGATCGACAACGAATAACAATAACAATGATTTAAATAATTGGCAGTACAGTGTGATATGACTTTAGGATTATTGATTGCTACTGATGTCAAACAATTTCAGAAAATCATGTCAATTCATTAACCTCAATTTTTTTGATTCTTTCATCATCATCATCATTTTCAGCTTATTCAACCATTTCCCATTATGGTGTAGCCTCCATCACATATTTAGATACTGCCTTTGTAATTGGGCCCATTGTTGTCTAATGTTGGCTATGCGGGCTCAAGTTATCCCTGCTAATTTCCCAATATTATGGTCCATCTCAGGTTTGGTCAATTTTTGTGGTTCATCTGTTGTCCCTCCTTCTTGCCAAGTATCCTGCCCATTGCCACTTGAGGGATTTGATTATGTTGATGACATCCTGGATCTGACATCCTGGATGACCTGGATCTTTTGTCGTATCCACTCTATTCTTTTGCGGTATTGGTTATTCCCAGCATATTTCGTTCCACTGAGAGTTGTGAGAACTGTAGTTTCCTTATAATGTTCGTTTTAAGTGTCCAAGTTTCGCATGCATAGGTCATGACTGGTAGTACACATTGGTCGAATGTTTTCTTCTTTAGATAAACTCGCATTCTACATTTGAATATGATTGAGTTTCTTCCATAAGTACTCCATACTAACTAGTTCCCGAGCTGTGTATTAGTTGTCCTAAATATATATTTTATTCTTCTAATATTTCCAGTGTTGTGTTATTTATTAGAATGTCTTTTCTTTCTACTAGTTCGTTGTACATTACTTTCGTTTTTTCTGAATTCATTTTGAGACCCATTTTATTGCTGGCTTAATTTTATTAATTTGTGCTTGTAGTCCTTCAGGACTATTGGCAATTAGGACTATGTCAGCAGCGAATCTTAGATGGTTAAGATATTCTCCATCTATTTTTAATCCTTTGTTGGTTCAGTCCAGTTGACGGAAGATTTCTTCTAATGTTGCTGTAAACAGCTTTGGGAATTTCTCATTTGAAACTTGAACCCTTGGTTGGAGTATTTCTTATTACGTTGTAATAAAACTTTAAAAATATTGTGAAACTTCATGCATATTAAAAGAAGAGATAATTCTAAGGTATTTTTTTCAAAGAAATACATTAAATTTCTTTGATATCGAAGATATATATTTTAACGTTAAAGCTGATTACATATCTTTCAACAGAATAATGAAATACTACTGAAAAAAGTTTCCTTGATATAACTACTAATTCTGACAAAGTTGCCAACTAATTTTATGAAACTACGTGTAAACGAACTTTTAATTCGTTATAATGACGTGTATCACGAAAATAGGAATTTTTATCGAATCAAAAATTCATGCGGCCGAAGTCTTACACATTAAAGAAATGTCCCCGTGTGATTAGACGGTCTCTACCGCTCGTAATATATCTGTAATTTACATAAATTACTTTGCTTTCTTAAATATTAACGTCGGAATCGGTAATATCTGATATACATGCACAGAATATGTCTAATTACCGTTTATCGAATATTTATATTCGTGAGTTTCGTCTAATCAATAAGTCAGAAATAAGGAAAATTACCCCTTAATATTGGTTGAATATTTAAGGGACTCAAAAAATACTCATTAGCTTATACGACTTGGTTTCTCCATATATTACGGACATCCAGAGGTTCGATTATTCAATGCAATTGTAGGTTTGCATTGGATTTCAATTTATAGAAACTGCAAATTATAATGATTTTAAGACATTTTAATAATTATTAGCAATTAGATCCGGACTTAGTAGTGATTAGAATTGGATACAATAAAAAATTCTAATTATTTTATTAAAAATTATTTCTTATCAAATCAAAATTAAATTAACTAGAGCTACCCTGAACTGGGGTATCTTTGTGACTGCAGCATAACCTTGGTACATACTTCATATTTTCACATTGTGTAATCACATCCTAAAATACGACTAAATAACCCAACCTGGCCATTCATGCATTGAACACTGCATGTTTATTAACATTTCAAAAATTCAACTACAAATAGGCGTATTTTAGGAATTTTGTATACTTTTTTCCATAGCAACTGTTAAAATTGCCTTATATCTATCAAAAATAGTAGATAAAATAGTACTTTAACCGCAAGGGTAGAATAAATGATACTTTAATAGCGAGGATAGGTTAAAAACTTTATTTCTTCTCGCACGTTTTTTAATTGCTTCCATTTTTGAAAATGTTGTATTTCTTTTCATAAGTTATTCGGGATTTAAATGGAAGTAGTTTGGATATGGCGTTTGTCGCCTCAGCCTGAATATCTGTTGGTAATTTACTTATTTCGTTTTGAGCCATTTCTGGCTCCAATTCAATCAGCAATCGACACGAAAGAGAATTAAAAAATATTGACTCAAAACTGACAACTAAAGAGACAGCTTTATTTATTTGTCAAATTACATAGAAACCAACGCCAACCCAGCACAATATTTTTTCTACTCCTAATAAATTCCTTGAAATAATAAGGTCTGAATATTTTGAAAAAAATACCGAAGGTGTCATTTAAAAATCGAAAGTAGTAATTTCCGGTGGAACAGGAAGTGACCAAAAACAATTGAATACGTCAATCAATTCTAATTTATGTCATACACTAACATACCAAATCTCGTTTTTTTATCTGAAAAAATAAAAAAGTTATAGGGGATAAGCTACTTTTGTGAAGCACCACGTATAAAAGTCGAAACATCGTATAAAATTTCAACATTAAACGTAGTCAACATAACAACAGAATCAAACAAGTATATGGTGAACTAATAAGTATAATAGCTTCTTTTAAACCTGAAGTTTGTTTTAATAAATAAAATGTTCCCATTATTTGTCAATGAATGTTTAACAATTATTTTGTTTATTTTTTTCTAGTTTTTGGTCTCGATTCACATCTAGGCCTATTCCCTCCTGGACTAGACGCTTGCAGAAACCCACTTTTCGACATGGGCGATCCGAGAAGCGTCGTGGACACTCCCATGTTTGCCAAAAAGAAACGTACGCACTATCCCAAACCCATTTAACGAATTTATAATTAACTTTAACCCATTTATTCCAGTGGGGAGACCAAAAGGGCAACATTCGGCACCGAGAGGAGGCCCGCCCAGATCCTGGACCAACGCGGAACTAACCGAGGCCCTGCAGCACGTCTGGAACAAGAAGATGACGACCAGCCAAGCCTCGAGAATATTCGGTATACCGTACAACTCGCTCCTGATGTACGTTCGAGGGAAGTACGGCAAAAGTCTTAAATTGGAACAGTTGAGGAAGGATTGTATAGGAGGACCCAACCCTCCTATGGACATGTTGAGCTCGTTGGGAGCGAATAATAATAATCTGGCGAAAATCGACAGGGAACCGGAACAGATGCAGCCCAACGCGAGACCGTCGAGTACGGATCAGGATCAACAACCACCACAACCATCTGTAAGTGTACTTAGTTAGTTATTGATATTGCAAGCTTTTATTTAAATTGTAGTGTTTGTATTTGAGTGGTTTGTTACAAATTGTGCAAAGTATTTTTCACCTACTCTTAATAAACAGATTATGGCTCAATGCATAAATAGGGTGTAAAAAAATAGTGTATCAAACTTCAGTGTGTGATACTATAATAATAATAATAATAGCTCCCGTATATAGCGTTCAACGCCTTGGGAGTAGCAAGGTACAGCTGGCCATACTAGAGCCGTTCGGTATACAGGGTGGTGCACCTCATTCGCCTCGGTTGATTATACGAAAACGGAAAGATGTAGAAACAAAATATTTTATGGGTATATACGGGGAGGCAGTGTGCACAATTTAAAATTATTTTGATATATACAGGGTGTCTCAGAACTAAGATCCATACCAAAGTTATATTTTTTCTTATGGAACACCCGGTATTTTATTTCATTTTTGGATACTTGGGCCCAAAAAAAGGAATTTATTATAAGGGTTAAATATGTTTAAAATCTTTGGTTTTTAGATATTTAAATATGCATGCTACAAAAAATTGATTATTAACACCCTGTACATTACTTTTCAGAATTAATTCTTGTACTGAGTTTAAAGGTAAAGAAATAAACTTTACTAAAATATGTTATTGCTTCCTTAAATTTATACAGGGGTACCAAAAATTGCTGGTCTATTTTAAATATACAGTTTACGTAAAAACTTTGTTATTTCAAATACAACCCCCTGTATTTTTTTAAATAAATCGAAGCAGATTCAAATGCTCTTTCAAACTATATCAGGGTTTCCTACACCTATCTCACTCAGATTTTGAATAAAGAGCGATTTTTCTATAAAATGGCAACCAAGAGGGCTAGTGTCGTCAGGGTAAGTTTCTACTGACAATTAGTAGCTATTTTCAAAATCGAAATTAGTTTATAGCCTTTATTTAAATTTATACCAGTTTACTTTTATTTAATTTAACTACAATAGTTTAATAAATAATATTTATTAATACGTATTTATGATTCTATGGAGAAAAATGAAGAAGCAGTTCTTTGTTTTATTTTACGATAACCTGAAGATATATGGATTTTCTATAAAAGAACCAATTACGGCAAATTCAATTTCTTCACTTCCAACGGCAAGTTTCTGCCTAATAGGTTTTTTATAAACTACACACTCTGCGAAATAGGACAAGTAGTTTTTCAAATAAAGTTTTTTTTTCGCTTATCAGGAAGATTCCTATTTGGATATCTTTAAGCATAAGCTCTTGAGGCAAGAAATAATTTTCCTCGCAAAATAAAATCACTAGTAACATATCCATTCGTTCCGCCATGCACCAGCCGGCAGCAGATACGGTTTTATTTTCCTTCATAAAATAAAGAATACTTATTATACTATTGTGGGTAAATTTTAGTAAACTGTTTAAATAATAATGTCCATAAACTAATGTCGATTTTGAAAATAGTTACTAATTGTTACTAGAAAATTGCCATGACGATACCAGCCATCTTGATTGCCATTTTATTTAAAAATCGCTTTTTATTCAAAATCTGAGATAAATAGGTATAGGAGACCCTAATATAGTTTGAAAGAGCATTTGAATCTGCTCCGATATATTTAAAAAAATACAGGGTGTTGCACTTGATATAACAAAGTTTTTATGTAAAATAAATCCTTAAAATAGATCACCAATTTTTGGTACCCCTGTATAAATTTAAGCAAGCAATAATATTTTCCAGTAAAGTTTATTTCTTTACCTTTAAACTCAGCACAAGAATTAATTCTAAAAAGTAATGTACAGGGTGTTAATAATCAATTCCTTTGTAGCATGCATATTTAAATATCTTTAAATATCTCAAAAACCAAAGATTTTAAACATATTTAACCCTTATAATAAATGCCTTTTTTTGGGCCCAAGAATCCAAAAGTGAAATAAAATACCGGGTGTTCCATAAGAAAAACTTTGGTATGGATCTTAGTTCTGAGACACCCTGTATATTTCAAAATAATTTTAAATTGTTCACATTGCCTCCCCACATATACCCATAAAATATTTTGTTTCTATCTTTCCGTTTTCGTATAATTAACCGAGGCGAATGAGGTGCGCCACCCTGTATATAAAAGACTTCGAAAAAAATCGACATTAAAAAAACAAAATCTTTCCAGATGTTCTCCCCCTTCGCCCACAACTTCTACCCCGATTTCGGCACGGGCTTCCCCATCCCCGTCAGCATGATCCACCTGCTGCCCCAGAGCGAAAAGAACCGCACCGAACAACAGAACGCTGCCTACGGGCAGACAGCGCCGCACGACGACGACCAGCCGAAGCAGCAGGCCAAAGACGTGGAGCAGGACGAGCAGGAATTGTACAGGCCGCAGCCGATGGCCGTCGACAGCAGGGAACTGGTGCAGCAGAACGGGCAGGATTGAAACAGGTGGCGCTAGTGGTTAGCTAGCGCGCTGCTTCTTCGTTAAGCGGGTAGAGGGAGTTACTTGCGTGTTTTGCGTTCGTTTTTTGCGTTTCGGATGGGTTTGTGTAGGTTCGGAGAGGAGAGTTATGCAGGTATCTGTTTTATTTATTGATTTTATTGATTTGAAGTAATGAATTTATTGAAAATAGTTATTTAAACAAAGTAATGTTATCATAGCGAACTACATTTTTTTAATTAAAATATAACAAATTGTATACATATTATATCCAAGTTTTAGTTGGTATTTTTAATGCTTCAAAACATTTTAAATTAAAATTCTTAATCGATGAATAATGAATAGATGAAATATGGTAGCCACTATCATAGCGTTGATCTATTTAGAAAAATTCCTGATTGCAGTGTGCCTAGTTAGTACCAAGTATCGATGGTTTGAGATATATGCCAACCAAACGCCTATTTTTGTATATTATTACAAATATAAGACAATATATGTTCAAAAAAGGCTTTTTTTACAAAGCCCAACATTATTTACCATATTCAAACCAAAAATAATGGATTTATATTATTTAAATAAAATTTTTTTAATTAATTGTTCATTTTTTCCTTTTCTTTCTAATTTTGTCTTTATTTATTTTTATTTCTTTATTGCTTTTTCTTTATTTATTGCTTTAATATAATTTTTCTTTACTATCATTAAAAATTAAATCAAATAATTGCAACGACATTATTTTGTTTGTTTTTTAAATCCTTGTTCGATTTTATTAATTTAATTAAAATTGAAGTTACTATTTTTTTTTAATTTTAATAAATCATATCAATAAAAGAGATACCTGCAGAACACTTTGTGTCCGAATTTTAATGATTACCGTGATGGAACTATTTTTATAAAAGAGTGTAGGTTTTTAAACGTGTTCTGTTTGATTGTTGATTTTGTTTGTGTATAGTTATTGAAAATTGCGTTTCTACTTATTTTAAAGAGTCTTTGCTAGACTAAGATACTTACTTGTATGAGAAAAGGCAAAAAATGTATACGGAAATATAATCTATTTATCAGCAAAAGTTTAGGCGTGATTATTTCCGGAAAAAAATATTTAAAAAAATTAGCCTTTTCGATTGTATTTTAATATTACCTTTTTTTAATTCTACGTATATTTTGTCCTTCATAACTTTTTTCTATTTAAATTTTTAAGTATTTAAAAAAATTGTCTCGATTTATTTTTATTTTAAGTTTTTGTGTTCTATATTAGGTTATTTATTTACTAACTCTTTCCATTAATCTTATTAACTACTTACCCAGATATTGAACTACTTACTAGTTTTCTTGATTTAAACATTTTCACTGATATTTCTAAACATTATCAGTTCCAGATTTCTAAACTAACTTTACAAACCAATTTTCTCTTAGGGAAAAATTTAAGTAAATGTTTTTGACAAGACAATACATATTGTCAGTTCATTTTTGTTTTTAATTTTCAAAGAATATATCTCGATTATTTTTGACTTACTGAAAAAAAACAGTAAAGAGAAAAACTATGTTTCTTTTATCGAGATCTACCAGCCCTGAAAATATTTGCACTTATTTAAGACTCTGTATAGAATCAACTTTGTACAGGATTTTCTTCAAAATTGTGTTCTCTTTTTGTTACTTCGCTACAGAGCTTTGAAGACCATCTCGCACAATCAAAAGGAGCAAATAATTCGATGCAAAACAATACACCACAAAATCGCAAATTTACTGTTGCTGATGAATCGGTAATATTTCTTGCTGAGAATACCAGAAAGAACTCTTCTTTAGTCCTGCTAATCATAGTGATAAGAAAATATAATCTAGGGGCAATATTAGACTAATCAGAGGATCTACTGAGTGTTTTAGAATGCGGATCCTTGCGTTAAATTATTTCGTTTATTTGGTTTGTAATCGATAGAAAACGGTGGTTATGATGTTGTTTATGTACCGTTGAAATATAGGTTAAGAGCTTCCTCAGTTCAAACATGTTAATTTCGTTTCCGGTATTATAAAAGTTATATACAGAGCTGTCAGACGAGTTATGCATTGAACAGTTTCTGTATGAACGTATTTTAAAGTTGAATAATTGTTGAGATAGTAAAATAAACGGGAATTGTCAAGTGCAAATTTGTTTGACATCGTCGGGATATTAGAGAGGATGTTGGTCAAATTTCGAAAGATTTTGTACATAAACTGGAAATCTTGTCGGAATTTGTTTCTTATAAGACTGATCTATCATTATGCCAAGATGTTCCGCGACTCGTAATTTAAAACTACAAGTACTACAATTTTATTTTTTGAATACTACCACTATACACAGTTCCTCGAATATACAGATTTTTTACCAAATATTTACTCAATAATTCTATATACAATGGTTTTCTGTTTGTTAATACGTAACCAAAATATCCTGTCTCGGCCAGGATATATCCTTGATGACATTGACAGCTGCGATACTAGTGATTTTTTACAATAAATACAGTTTGTATAGTATACAGATATTTAAATAAATACAACCGTATTCTGTTTTAACACATACAAATATTTTTGAATTGAACTCCACAAGAAAAGAAATAGTTATTTGTTTTTCTATTTTTATATGCCGTACGTACAGATATAAGAATATTACCTACCTACTCGTAGAACTTCGTATTTTTTACTGATACTACCATAGCTAGTTGGAACGGACTGAGTTTTGATTTGTAGTTAAAAACTTTGATTTAACTTTTTTCAGTGTTCAGTTAGGAAATTCCATTTGGTTTCGATTTTCAACGACGAAGTATCTTCGAGATATTTTATAATAAAAAGGAACATTTTATAGTTTGAAGCAAAATTTGGCAAAATGATTCAAAGAAAAAGCGGTCTAGATTAAAAACGTGTAAAAAAATTACCGGTTAGTCGATAGAGTATAAAAAATGAAAATGTAATTAAACAGAAATAATGTACAGTTCAGAGTATATGTGTTGACTTCGTGTCTGTATACAAATCTATCATAATTATAAAATTATACTTGCGATAAGTGTCGTCACCAGTACTAAAAATTTAGAGAGTATTATTAGAAAAATTATGTATAAAAATGTAATTTTAGGCAAAGAATGTGGGTATACGGTCAACAATGTACAAACTATCAAATCTAAACAAACATTTTGGCTTTCCAGATCAACCGCTTTTCGAAAATTCACTTAATAATAGTTTTTTTGTTAAATTCCCATGTTATACAAAGAAAGCAAATTTTTAGAAACAACTTCTTACTACTAATTGGTATTTTCATAATTCAATAACATTATTCTAGGGTCAAGTGGTATAAAAATGAGACATTTTTCAAAACTTTTAGTTCTTTTCTTAGTATGTAACTAAGAAAAAAAAACAAAAAAAATACTTCTATAAAAGGTAATTGGTGGTAACGAAACTATTGCAGAAGTAAAAATATACCAAAAGAACCATAAAGAAGTCAGTATGCAGAAAAAAGTGTTTCATAACATTAAACTCATAAAAAGTCTAAAAATGAGACATACCTGAACATCATGACCAGTAAAATCATAAAAACTATCCACAAACTTAAAGATAATAATGCTCCCGGGTGAGGCAATAAGAAATATCTGTAACATCTGGAACAATATCTGGAGCCCATGCAAATGGCCCAAAGAGTGGACAACTTCAGTTATCATACCTCTACATAAGAGAGGTTCAACCAACAAGTGGAACAACTAGAGAACACTTTCGCTTCTGTCACATCCCAGCAAGATAATGCTAAATGTAATAAATGAGCGTTTGAAATATTATCTCGACTCCCAAATACCTAAACAACAAACAGGATTTGTCAAAGGCAGAGGTACCCGTGAACAAATAACCAATGTGCGACAACTGATAAAAAATGAAAAGTGAAGAGAATTTAATGTACCAGCTGTCATTTGCTTTGTTGACTATAACAAAGCATTTGATTGCGTCAAATGGATAAAGCTCTGGAGGATTTTAAGAGAAATGGGGGTACCAGAACATCATGTAGCATTGATCGAGAGCTTATATACTAATAACACAGCAAGGGTAAAAGTGGATAAACACATGTCTGAACACGTTCAAACAAATCAAGGCGTCCGACAAGGGTGTATACTCTCACCCATCCTCTTTAATATATATGGGGAATATATTATGCGGAGAGCTCTGGAAGACTGGGATGGAGATATCAGTGTAGGAAGAGCTAAAATCAATAACTTGCGATTTGCAGACGACACAACATTAATTGCGACCAGTGAAGAAGAAATGGCGAGTTACTGTTGCGAGTGGAAAATGAAAGTGCTGAGATGGGACTAACTATCAACCGCCAAAAAACGAAATTAATCTTCGTGGACAGAGGAAAACCCCTACAAAGATCTTTCCAGCTTAACGGTATCGAAGTGGTTTATGATTTTGTTTATCTAGAATCAAACATAAACGACGAAAGCAATTGTAAAATAGAAATTAGAGGCAGAATACAGTTAGCAAAAACTGCCACAACACGTCTTACAAGAATATGACACAGCAGAGTGATAACAACCCACACAAAAAAGAATTTGCTGCATACAATTGTCTTCTCAATATTTCTTTATAGAGTGGAATCCTGGACCATCAAAGCATCGAAAAGGCGCATGATAGATATCTTTTAAATATGGTGCTACAGACGTATGCTGAGAATACCTTGGACAGCTCTATTAATAATTTTTACGAGTACTTTGGACACATTGCTCGAAAACCTGCCGACAACATGGAAAAAATTATTATAACTGGTGATGTCCAAAGAAAAAATGTAGAGGTCGGTCCCCAACAAGATGGATCGATCAAGTAAGACAAACAACGGGTCTACCCCTACACTCAGCTATCCATCGAACTGAAGACAGATTAGCCTTATCAAAGACTAAGTATCAATTATGTGACACACTTATTTTATCTTTATTTGATTAGGCGATGTTGTTTATGGTACATCCATAAATGCTAGATTCTCTAGAAAAATCCAAATACTTCAAAACTCGTGTCTATGGTTTTCTTTTAACATTCCTTTTAGAGATCACATAACGCCACATTTTAAAAATTTACCTATTTTGTCCATGACTAACAGACGACAATTTCATTTAATGACATTCATTTATCGAATTTTAACTTCAGAGTAGCCTTCCTATTTGTTCTTATTATTTCACTACGTTGGCCATGCTCATTCGACTAGGCCAAGTGCATTATTTCAAAATTCCTCAACACCGAATAGCTAACTTCCAAAAATCTTTTAGTTTCATAGCGCCACATTTGTGGAATAATATTTTTAATAACTTCAATCCTTTACCAGATTATAAAAAACAAATCAAAAATCATTTACTAAATTCGTAAAAATAATAATTTCTTTAACTGATTTGTGGGGATCTGTGTTCTTCTCATATGCCCGTCATTGGTTGCTGTTCCGGATTTTACACTATTTCGTTATGCTTCTCTGCTTATCGCTCATCCCTGGTAAAATTATATTGTCTCTTTTTGTTATCTAATCTCTGTTTATTTTTATAATTTAATTTATTTTATTTTGTTTTTCGCACCGCTCTGGCATTTTGTGTCTTTGTATCAGTTTTTTTTATCGCGGTGCGATCCCTTTAG